GTGAGAATAGGTCGAATTGTATAGACATTTGTGGTCCGATGCAAACTCCAAGCCTTCATGGGAACGTTTATTTCTTGACCTTTATCTGCAACAAATCTACTTTTGCTGGGTTTACGTATTGCGTCACAAGTATGACGCCCTTGCAAAGTTTGCAGCGTTTCATGCCATGGTCAAAACCCAATTCAAGCATACATCAAGCGACTACGAAGCGACTACGGCAAGGAGTACCAAAACTCGACCTTCGATCATTGCTGCAAGACGCATGGGATCCTGCAGCGGTTTTCACCTGCCTATACTCCTCAACTCAATTGCTTGGCGAATCGCATGAATTGGACTCTCGTTGAATGTGCATGTTGTATGCTGGAACACGCAAATCTACCGAAGGACCATTGGACCGAAGCCAATGCTGTCGCAGCGCATAGTCTCGACCGCATGCCAACTCAAGCGTTTGAAGAGAAGAAGTCACCCTTCGAAGTAATCACTGGTAGAATACCAAAGATTGGTCATTTGCGAGTTTTTGGTTGTGAAGCATTTGCTCATGTACCCAAGGAGAATCACAGGAAATTTGACGCCAAGGGTGTTAATTGTCGATTTATTGTTTATGATCAGATTGAACAAAGTTGCCGTCTACAAGAAGTTGACACTGGAAAAATCATCATCATCAGTCGTGATGTGAAGTTCAACAAAGCCTGTTTTCCACCGACCGAAGACTCTGAAGACTTGTCGAAACGGTTGCAATCAGTCATATGTGATGAACACAAGAATGAAAAATGTCATGGTCACAGTCCCATGAAAGCAATAAAATGCATGAGCCTTTTGTAGACGTCAGTATGAGCGGTGATTACGAAGGTCAAGTCCCTCAACCACGACCCCAAGCAACAAAGTGGTTGGGCCGGTATGAGTCACTGGAATGTATGACCGACATAAAGCAATGCAAACGCGCAGCAAGGTCAACATGAAAACATGCCATCTGCAACATCGCAAGAAAGAGCCCCGCGGAATCCACGTCAGGTGCCGTGAAGGGACAGGACCGAACAGCATCACTGGAAGATATGACAAGTCATCCATGTTCGGCGAGAAAGGTAACGTCCACGCAATAATACGAAGAATTTCATCCATCGGATTCAAGCTCCTCGGAGTCAAGTTCATCTGGTGAAGAATTTATTGCCCCGGACGCCGTAGTCAAGCGCCAAGAGTCCCTCGAAGCCTTGACTGATGTACGCCGGAGCAAACGACCAACCATGTCACCACAGGCATGATGGGAAGCGGCCCAATTTGCCCACGTTGCAGCTTCAGTGGGAGAAGTTGTGCCAACGACATACAAGAAGTCGATGGAATCTGACACGCGGACAAGTGGCTCGAGGCGTGCAAAACGGAAATCAAGCCACTGCATGAGAACAAGACTTGGGATGTGGTCGTGCTACCTGAAGGGACAAAAGCGATTGGGTCCAAGTGGATGTTCAAGAAGAAGGAAAAAGCTGATGAATCAACGGACAAGTTAAAGGCGCGTTTGGTGGCAAAAGGATTCTCACAAGAGAACGGCATCGACTACGAAGAAACATTTGCGTGAGCGGTTAAGTTCACCTCGATCCGAGTTCTACTGAGTTTGGCAGCCAAGCACAATTTGGACTTGCAAATGGATGTCAACACTGCGTTCCTCAACAGCGACTTGGACACCTTCACCGAGATCACTGATGGCTTGGGCATCAAACTGTCCCAAAGCAACTCGAATTTGGTGCTAAAACTGAAGAAAAGTCTGTATGGTCTCAAGCAAGCGCCAAGAATTTGGAACGAAACAATCGATAGATTCATGACTTCAATAGGTTTTGTCAAGTCCGAAGCATGTCTTTGCATCTATTCTATGCGGGAATGTGGTGAGGTCATATTGGTTTCCCTCGATGATCTCACTTGGTTTCCCTCGATGATCTCACTTCGGCTTCCAACTGCAGTGACACGATGCAGTCGACAAAGCATGCACTCAGCAAGAAATTCAAGATGACATACATTGGAAGTCTATGGTACTGTTTGGGGATTGAAGTCAAGCGCTATGGAATTGTTGGAATATTCAAACACCAATCGATATTTTTGCAATCGGTATTTGCAAAGTTCAGCATGGAAGCCTCAAACCAGTGAAGACACCTCTGGACAGGAGCTGAACAAGACAATGTGTCCAACCACAGCCGATGAAAAGAAAGACAAGACAGAGTCCCCTATCGAAGCGCAGTTGGTTGCTTGATGCGACTGATGGTAGCAACAAGACCCGATATCGCGGTTTCAGAGGGAGTTGCGAATTTATCGAGAGTCCAGGACCACAACACTGGACGTCAGTGAAGCGGATGTTTTGATACCTGAAAGGCACCGAAGATTTTGGCATCGAGTATGTGGGAAATCAAGAAGTATGCGTCTTAGCCGATGCAGATTGGGTGGGAGAATCCGATACAAGAAGCTCGACAAGTGGTTACTGCTTTCTTCTCAACAATGGCATTGCCAGCTGGAAGAGTCGCAAGCAGCACACTGTAGCACTGTCATCAATCGAGGCGGAGTACATGGCCCTCAGTGAAGATACTCAACAAGCTGCGTGGATGAATCGCCTGTTGTGTGACCTTGGCGAGATCAGCTTGAACACTCCAATTGTTCTGTGGGAGGATAGCCGAGGTAGCCTTGCACTTGCCTAGAATCCCAAGCATCACGGCTGAACCAAGCACATCGACATTCGTTACCACATTGTCATTGAAAATGTCCAAGATAAAGAAGTCCAACTCAAGACATGGTGAACGATTTGTTTAGGGCTCCTCTGGATACCAACAAATATGGCATAAAACGAGGAAAATCTCCATAAAGTGGTAAAATGACAAAGTGCCAAACTGAGATGTCTGGATACCACAAAATCCAAGGAAAATATTCCAAAATCACAGCCAGAAAGTTCGCAAAATATGCCAAAACAATGGACCAAAACGGTCCATTTCTCATGTAGAGAAAGTGCATTATGTCAGGTCATTTCGAAAGATTGCTTCCACCACATCAGAGACAGAAGGCTACACAGCGAGACATCGATGGGGCTTTGGACGGACGACTTGGACGTGACATGGTTGAAGGAGCTTGTGCACCAAGCCATTGTCCTTGGCAAACGTGCCCGAAGTGGATACAAGAAGGAAGCGTGGCAAGCGACGCTCACAAAGCTCAACTAAGAGCATGGGCAAGAAATACCACTCACATTGCAGCAGCTCAAGTCGCGGCATGACACTATCAAGGGCTCGTACTCCGTCATTGCGAAGATCGTCAATAGCAGTGGAATGGGGTGGGAAGCCACAACGTGCAAGGTGGAGTGTTGATTAACCACGTGGGAGTCATTTCTGGATGGCAAACCCAAGCAATGGGGGGCGTGGCGACACAAAAGATTTCCACAGTTCGACCTCTGTGAAGCTCTCGTCCATGGAACTCTTGCGCATGGGAATTTCGTTGTGACTTCAACGGAAGAGCCTTCATCATACGCCCCAGACCAACGAGACAGCTCAATTGAAGATGCTGCGGACATGCAAGGGGACGAGTCCGATGCTGAAGAGTGTCAGCACGATGATAGCGGAGCCGGTCGCCGATCGTCGTTGGGCGATGGTGGGAAACTACCGAACAAGCGGCAACGTTTGACCATGGCCTCACAATTGCTACAATGCTTTCAAGGCATGGGTGCGTCGTCGGAGAGAGAACTGGAACTCATGGCAGAAATGATCAAACCAACAACCGTGTCCCCAACAGCAAAGGCGGTCAAGTTGCTTCACGAAGAACTTGGCGAAATGTTGAGTGTGGATGACACCATGATGGCGCTTGACGTTCTGGAAAACGAAACCCGTGCGGTTGTGTTCATGTCGATGCAGCCTGGTCTACGTGAAACATGGATTTTGCGCCAGGTTGAGAAGCTGCGTAATGCGTGAATACATCAATTCAATTCGCTCACTCAAACAACAATGCGTTCATTTCGGCGTCGTCGCAACAGCATCGTGGCTTCATTCTGACGCCGCATTCACAACGCAATTGAATCACGCCAAAGCTTCGCAGCTTCGTTGTCGGGCTCCTCTTGGAGGGCTTGATTGTTGGGTGCATTGTTCTGAACTTGATGGTCTGGATCCACCTCAGCATCCGCTTCTCGTTCGAAGCGATCGTTTCGAATTCCACGCAACCGGATATAATTGTGATTTACACAGAGAGATAGCACATCGTCCACCTGAAATGAGTAGTCATACCGAACACCACGTGACAAGACGGGAAATCGCATCTTCAGAATGCCGAAAATCCTCTCGATTGCATTCCTGAGCTGGGCATGCCGCAAGTTGAATAGTTCTTCCTTCGTGCGTGGCTTCTGACGTCCGATACCCCATTCCTTCAAAGTTCGACCTCGGCGACGCTGGTTACGCACTGACAACGAAGTGATTGACTCCATATCGCGGAACGCGATACCATTTGGTTGGGGATAGCGCAAGGTCCTTTTGAAGCGCATCGTTGAATACCTTGCCATCGCCTGCAGTGCCTTCCCAACCAGCGAGCACGTAGGTGAAGACAAGATCGAAATTGCACGCAGCAAGAACATTCATCGTCAACCCCTTTCGTCCGTGAAATGGGACGGCCTTGGCAGAACTGACCCAAACTGGAACGTGTGTTCCATCCAAGGCCATTCTGCAGTCTTGGAAGTATGGCGCGAATTTAGGGTTGGATTGAGACGGGTGTTGGGCTGTCGTTCTTTGGGAGTCGAATGTAGATGGGTACCAAACGGCGAACTGCTCGAACAACCGTGCGCAAATGCCTTGATATCGTCTCGCCGGAATGCTGGAACCATTGCTGCATATTTGTCGATGATGCATTGTGACCGGAGAAGTACAGGAAGATACAGAGCTGCTCTTGTGGGGATGTTCGCCTTGTACCATGTAGCCCGCCTTGCTGAACGATTTCACGTAGAAGTCCCCCGTAGGTTTCCTTTGACATGCGAAATGTCTCGACGAAGGCATCTTCGTTACCTTTGATCATCTCAGCAATCCACAACGCGCCGGACAAGATTGAGACCCGCTTTGATGTCTTGAGGAGAAAGCCAGAGTAGTGGTACGCAAGGTATACCATCAGCATCATGCGTCTTCGTTTGTAGCGACGTCGTCGGAGCAGCAGCAACAAGCTCGCGAGCATCACTTTCGCGCGCAAATTTGAACCGCTGGAAACTTGTGACGTATTTGTATCCAGACGGTTTCATCATTTTTATGAAAACTTTGAGTTGGTATTTTGGACAAAATCTGCAAAATCTCAAATCCATCTATGGCATTTTTTTATTGTGAGGTATCCAGAGGAGCCCTTACAAAGTCCCTCCCAGCAGTTCAGTTCCAAAAGCTTCGCAACAAGATGGGTATCAAGCAAGCCATCCATGATTTGAGTGGGAGTATTGAAGATGCAAGTCAGGTTTGGCAACATGAAGCACCGAAGTATCTAAGTGCAATTTTTCCACTGGGAAAACATCAAAGTGCAAAGTATCAATTAGGAAAGTATCCAAAGTCCAAGAGCAAAACTGTGACATGCGAAGGTACACTAGTCGATGGCAAATCAATCTGATCTGTGCGACAAGTTGCTTTCCAGACTAGATACGCATTACAAACGTCTTGCCAGCAAGGTGCCTATTAGAAAGTTCAAAGTATTGAAGCATTCTAATTCACTCTCCATTTTTACTGACTTTGATCATGGACCTCCCAGATTCGGACCCAGATTGTGTGCAAAGTGTATGGGGTCGTCGTGTTGGACCCCCCAACCACTAATGCACAACTGTCGTCGCCATTGTCCTAAAAAATGACGTCATCGTCATCGTCACGCCCAAAACCCCCAAACCCCTTTCCCACCTTAGCATAAAGCGGTTTGAATTTCACTTAGACTCATACATTTTGTGCAATCAACACGTATGGTACGGTTGTATGCACGACGTACCAGCCTGTACGGGCCAGTACATCGAGATAAGGACTTTTGACCTTACAGTCAAATGCTCCCCAAACACATCTGATACGACAACCGCGTCGTCATCTGCATCCTCGTTAGTTTTCACTCTCATCGTCATCTGCATTGTCACCCGTGTCGTCAGCAGTATTGCCGCGGATTTTTCCGTCACTTGGGGCCGAATTGGAGTCCAAATCGTGCACTTTTTCCTTTCGAAACCGGATCTGAACCAAATTTGGGTCAAAGTTATTGCTTTTTGCACTTGAGGGGAACCTTGATAATGGGAAATTGAATTAGTTGTTAACATGTCCATCGTTTAACCTACTGTTGCTACTGGGCATGGTATGTTGCACGATCATGTTTGTACCTTCACTCACATCCGATATCGGAATAGCAGGATTAATTGTTCGAAAATCGTGCAGAACGAAGTTGATTTGCATCATCCATTTGCAACCTCAACACTCCCACTCAAATCGATATTCATTAGGCGAGGATTCGATCCCCATGGTAGTGCGCAGCATTACAAGCTGGGTCGCAGTAATGGGATTGGTAATCAGGTCTGCAACTATCTCGTTTGTTGGACCATATTTGAGTTCGATTTCTTACCTTCGACTTTTTTGCGCACAAGTGATAGCGCAAATTGATTTGCTTTGTGCGGCGATGGTTGTATGGGTTCATGGCTAGAGGGATGGCCCCTTGGTTGTCTTCCATGAATTTCTCGGCTTCAGCTGACGACATTACGATAGTGCGTTGGCGTTTGCTACGCCAGCTCACGCAACCTCCGTTCAGCATAAAGCGGTATCCACTTGTCGTTTGGCGAGTGTCTGCAAATCCAGCCCAGTCGGCATCTGAGTATCCGATCAAGAGTTGGTCACTCACACTCGAATACTTGATTCCGGCATCTTGGGTCCCTTGAAGGTATGTAGTGGAAATGCGCTTGACAGCATTCCAATGCACCGTGCCAGGATCATCAACAAACTGACTGGCGACCGCGGCAGCTGCGAGGTCGAGTGCACACCATCAAGTTCTTGAGGCAGCCAACATCATACCGACATGGCACACGCTCCATGTTTGTCTTCTTGACTTCAATTGTAGGTGACATTGACTTGGGCAACTTGAGGACAGTCTCTTGAGGCGCTTTCACAGGCTTGCGTTCCCTCATGTTCTATTAGCTCAAGATCACTTACCGGAACTTGTGCTGGTGAATAAATATTCCAACTGATGAGCACTCGACTTCGATACCAAGGCAGTCTTTGAAGGTACCCAAGTCGTACGTAGCGAAACGTTTCTTCAGGGCTGACTTTATCGCAGACTTCTGAGCGCTCGAGCTACTGGCAACGATCAGGTCGTCAACATACTTGATCACAATGATCATGCCATTGTCATCGCGTTTCATGTACACGCACGCATCAGTGAGTACTTCTTGAATCCAAGACTATGCATGAAAGATTCGATCGTCTGGTTACACAATCGTCAACTCTACGAGGTCCCAAGTCTTGTTCTGGCGTAAAGACTTCATCTCGTCGCCGCACGCTTGCTTCCACTTAACCGCATTATCCGACTCTATCACACGAGTATACGTGCTCGGCATTTCTCCCACTGAATCGGCAATATGCTCAAGTGTGCAGATTCCCACAATCGATTCAGAGACATCGTCGGTCGCTTGCTACGACGGGTTTCCACTGTCGCCTCATGTGAGTCGGATCTGGCGGTCGTTTATTGTGGCTGTCCAGCATAAAGTCAAAGTCGTTTATGCCAAAGCTGACACTCCCTTGAGCGCATGCTGTGTAATGGCGGCAGACTGCTTGACAATTGTTATGCACAGCCACATTATTCAGCTCGTATAAACCGTTGCCAAAGCGGTTGCTTTTTACAAAAAACGACATTGTCGAAGTTGACCCCGATTATCCCCGCGCAATGGTATCAGCATTTCGTACAGTGCGCCGGTTTTTAGTTCATGTCGGTTTCGAACAGGGCAAAAGTAGGCCGACTGACCTTCGCGGTTGGGAAACACAATGTAATGTTCCGTGATGAATGCGTTGCGAAATGGTGTCAGCCATTTTTTTGCGAAAATCCAATGCCGATTGTTTACCTGGACGAGTCCTATGTTTACCACCACTACGCTCGCCACCAAGATAGTGTTTACGATCCAAATGGTGAACAGCATCTGCAAGTAACAGCAAAGCACAAGGGATAACGATATTGCTTTATTGGAGCTATATTTGACGACGAGCGGAAAACTCAAACTACTTGCCCTCAACATTTCCCAAGGGGGCTATACGACGAAAAGATCCCAAAGACTACAATGTCGTGTTCAACCATGTATACTTCGCGGACTGGTTTGGCACCTTTCTCGACCGATTGGAAGCCCTGGGGAAAAGGATCGTCGATGTCATCATTAGACAGATTTCGAAACTCACTCCGTACATTTCCCGTCCCGTAAAATTTTACGGGACGGGAAGTACACGGATTTGTTTCAACCCAATTTCGAAATTATGTGCCACACATTTGCCATATCCGGATATAAACCGAATTATCCAGCTAGAGCACGACAGACTTCACCAGTGTCAACGACATGCTGACGACCGAGGAATTAGTCGTCCTTCTTCGTCGTCGTAAAGGCGTGCCCTTTAAACGCCGTATGAGAATGCTTCGACTCATTGCAGCGGCAGTCGAGCGCCCTCTAGTGCCAGATGTTCGCTTTGACCTTGCGGCAATAAACAACGCCGACTGCAAACTCAAATTCCGCTTCGACGCTGATGGGGTCATGAAGTTGTGCCTTCTTCTGCGTTTACCCTCCGTCCTTATTACCGACGATGGAGACAGATGTCTTGACCAAGAAGCTTTGTGCATCCTGTTGAATCGACTATGCTACCCGCGGCGCTACTACGATATGATGGCTACGTTTGGACGCTCTCGCGAATCCTTGTGTCGCATTTTCAACCTGGTGGTGGATTTGATTTTTGACGAATGGAACGGTCTGCTCTACTTTGGCTTGTCAGTTGTGCGCTCAAGGCTCAAAATGTACTCCGATTCAATTGCGCGAAAGGGAGCTCTCATGGACAACATTTTTGGATTCATTGACGGAACGAAGTTGGAGACCTGTCGTATTTCGCAGAAAAAGGGCCGCCCGCGGACGGTCAACGAGCATGGGGACTTGCAGCGTCTCATCTACAGTGGCCACAAGCGTCGCCATTGCTTGAACTTCCAAGCCATCACAGCTCCTGATGGCCTCTGTGTGCATTTTTGGGGTCCGATCGAAGGGTCGCGCCATGACACCACTCTCCTGCGCGACAGTAAGCTCCTTGAGTACTTGGACATGCATGAGCATGACCTTGGTCCGTACTTGATCTATGGCGATCCAGCGTATGGAATTCTCCGTTGGATTTGCAGTGGCTACAAAGGTACTTCCAACACACAATTGATGCAGGAATTTAATTCCTCTATGAGCAAAGTTCGTCAAGCCGTCGAGTGGAGTTTCTGTCAGATGAAAACACAATGGGCTTTTGTGACGTACAAAATGCAGCAAAAGATTTTACTGCAGAGTGTTGGCAAATCCATCAACGTCGCAATGCTTTTGACAAATTGTCATACATGCTACTATGGTGGCAACCAAATTAGTTCATTCTTTGGACTAGCTCCACCAAGAATTGAAGACTATCTAACGAAAGATTAACATGTGTCGATTCTGTTGATTAGCATTGTTTATCTGTTCTGAAGTAAGTGCAAAACAAGTTTCATCATCTCTTCATGGCGTTGGTTCCCAATGTCTCGAATTTGTTGTCTCTCTTCACGCTCCTTCTCTCGCTCAATGCGGTCTTTTTTCCTTTCCTCCATTTCACGTTCGAACTTTGCCTTCTTGAAGGCCAACTTCTCTCGTTCCAGGGCTATTTCCAGCTCTTGGGCCTCCAAAACCATCTTGCGCTTGCCCGTTGGTGCTGAATCCGTGCCATCGGAGTCCGAGGTCGATTGGCGGCGCCCCCGCAACATAGCCTGGTGTCGGATGAACTTGACGTCTGCAGCCTTCGTTGCAGCGGCATCCAGTTTCGTGTCGGCGTCAATTTGTCGTCTTTTGGTGGCCAGAGAGTCCTGGTACAGCGGCATGATGTCGTCCAGCAGTCTTGTCTTCGCGGACTCGTCTTCACTCACACCGGACAGACGTGCAGAGGCATTGCTGCTTGACTTGTGCTGGCGAATCAACAAGAGAAAGCGATTTTGTGCCTTCCTGCCATCCAACGTGCGACGCGAAAACGAAGGATGCGAGCGGAGCGTGGCGGCCAAGGCCTCCCAGGCCTTCATGGCGTCCTTACGTTGCATGAACGGGCGGTCGTTGTTGATCTGGGTGAGCAACATTACATCATCGTCCTCCAACCACCATTTCTTCTCCTGAAGCTCTTGTAGGTTGTCGCTGCTATTGACTCCACTACTTCCTCCACTGTCGACAACCATGGCACACTCCAAAATTGTGGTTCCCGTAGACTGCCCTGACTTTACGGCTTCCCACATGAAGTTCCAGAGTTTCCGTAGAATTCATCGATATTCAAAGGTCTAGTCGACGGGAAAGGTACGGGAACGTGTTCCGAAATCTGTCTATTGACAACGCAAAATTCCATAAATGATACATGCCTACCCGACGACACTCAGAGTATGCCTGGGCCAAGTTAATTTTATATTTGTGTTTATGTTAAAATATTTTCTGGTAATTTTTTAAAGTAACTAATAATATATTAAAGTATAAAAATTATCATTTAATATATATATATTAAATAATAACTATAATTAAAATGCACGACTGCGCGACAGTTGCAACCGTTACGGTATTCCCTACAACGCAGAAAAAGTAAAAATCGCCCTGTGCAAAACTTGCCAAGCACATGGAGGGCAATATCGTATCTTTTGTGGTGACCATGGCCGAATCGCGAGGGCGTTCTGTTGTGTACACACCACCGTACCATTACGACTTGCAACCTATCGAAATATGGGTTATTGTTAATGGTGAGTTTGGTCGTCAATATGACTTAAATACCTCGTTCCGTGTGGTACTGGAGCGGTTGACGACTGCATTAGAAAGACTCACGCCTACAACAATTCATGGTGTATCGCAGCATCGAAATGACGACTCATCGAGTTGCGGAATTACCTTGGTCTTCTGAACGCTGCAGATGAAGCAGACGTGACGGCGGACGAGCAAATGCTACCAGATTTCAGCCATGCATCATACGACGAAAACAATACCAGCGACCATCAACTAAGCTGCATCATGACATCCAACAGCGACATGGATGACGGCGACGTATAGAAATAGGTACCAAATCTTGTAATGAGTGGTACGTTCACATATACCTGTGAAAAATAATTGAATTAGAAAAACGACCCTTGGAAGTTAGTTGCCGACGGCAGTAAAGATTTATTTTGGAATATCAGATAAAACAACCTTCAGAGCTCTATTCTTAATATGTAATCTTGATATTTTAAAATTGTAAACACCTTTGGATGTACATGTTGAATTTGATTAAATTATAGTATAAATAGCCATGGATGTTTACCCTTTCTGTCTAACATGAGGTATTGAGCAACGAACAGCTTCACATGGGGGCGCCGACGAGGACAGGCTCGTGGATTTGCACTTCCTTCACACTAGAAACAGCTTTTAAGCCAGTTTGTACTGGCTAACTTGCTGATTGCCATGTCATTAAATCTATACCAGTTTCTTCTAAGTTTTCATTCATAAAATAAAATTTTCGCGGCTCGCGTTTTTTCCTTGCTGATAACAGAAGAACTTCGGTCCGAATTGTCGCGCTTCGTTGGTGCCAGTCGCCAACAATGCCAGCGTAATCGTGTTGAACCTGCAAAAGTTTTGCTAGCCGCTTCAATATATTTCCAGCGACAGTAGGAACAATCTAGTGCTGGTAAAACCAATCGTGATGGCTTTGTCGACATGCTCCAAACATTACACGCAATGGAAACGGCATGTTGCTTGCTGCCTTTGCTCTTCCACACATCGCTTATAACCTCGGGACGTATCACTTGCTTGAACACAGCAAGGTCTAAAGACTTAAACAAGTGCTTGAACTTACAGGTAGAAACTGGAGCAATATACCAAGCCATTGATCTTCGCCATATAACTCGGAATAATGAGAAGAACATCCGTCAGCATCAATAGCACCATCGCAAAGTTGGTACGGGATTTCGTCGTTGATCATAGAGCCACTTTTGACAGACGTACCGTACGAGTTCGCCCCATCCCTTCTCCGACGTAGTAACGTATACACCAGGTACGAACAGACTGTCGTAGACATCAGTTGACATCAAATCTCTCGGCAGGAGGAAGAGTAGCGGAATTTCGGCACCGTCTGTACTGATACTGGCGACGACTGTAACGTGGCACGCGGCCGTTGACTCATCGACGTAAGCATGTTGCGTTCATTTGCGAAAAACGACTTTACGTGCTACTACCTCGGTTATGGAATGATTGCAAGTGAATATATTAATACATACAAAATATGAAAAGTCGAATCTAAATATAATGACTTTATTACAGTGCTACACTCCCGAACAATTCACAAACTCCCTCCGTACGATCTTCCTCTTCAAACCTCGAATTTATTTCCGCCACAGCCTGCATTTCTTCACACATCGCCTTCTTCTTGGAATCTTGTAGCGATTGTCGCCGTTTATCTGAATCACAATGTCCATCACTCGCTGGAGTGCCTTAAAAGTGCGGTCAAGCATATCGGCAGGTAGTTCTTCAAACGATCTCACGACCGCATGAACAAGGTCTTCAATCGAACGACACTCCATCTTTTTCTGCAACGCTTGGATCGCCAGATCGAGAACATTCAGATCTGGGGATTGGGCTGGCTGGTGATCATGTAGGCAAAGTTCTTGGTATATCGCTAGGTGTTGGTCGTCGGTCAAGTTTATCTTGTTTTTTGTATGAGATTTTGGCATTTCGGTTTTGGGATCAAAATGGAATATATAATTCACGAAAAAATACCAACGTATTCGTGGAAATGAGCGGATATTTGTTACCAATTTTTATTCCAATCATCGCTTGGGAAGTTATCCATCTGGACCCACCTGCAATTATTCCATAAAAGAGGTAGTATTTTGGTAGTCGTGAAGCTTGTTTCAGGTTGAAAACGCGGGAGGGGTTCAGATCGACTATCGACAAATAGTGCACCAACTCGTAATAGAAGTCCAAGGCTCCATATTAGTCGACAGCGTTACGTGTCTTGCTGAGGGTGCTCGACTTAGCCACTTAGTTCCTCACTCCTGCCAATGAAGCGTTACTACCACTAAGCTGCCACATTGGTAGGTAGCGGATTTCCACGAACGACGTCGAGAATGCTGTTGACCTTGTTGATGATATGGCTGCGACTGATTATGTGGTCATCTTGCTCCATCACATCACAAGTGTCACTAAGTCCTTTTCTTGCGCCGGTGGTACGATTGGTTCTCAGACTATGTACTTGACCGCATCGCCTCAGTCCTTGGTCTCGCGAAGTGTTATCGCAGAGTATGCCGAGGTATGCAATATACTTTGACAGTAGTGGTTTCCGTATGAACCTTGGTGATTACGTCCTTGACGGCATTGGCGGTGTAATCTGGCAAGTATGGTGTTGTTGGCGGCATGTCGATTTCAAATTGTGATTTGCTTTGGTATATTTATTTTTCTCTCCATCATGATTGTAGTTCTATTTCATGCAGAATTCTATTTGACCAATCCCTGCAAATACTATATTCTATTGGCTTATCTGACTCAGTAAATCACTGATGTATCAGCACTATCACTGATTACTCGTGTTAAGGCGATTCCTTGAATCGTTTCTGAAACTTTAAATGAACTTATCTCCATCGCGTTTCGAATCAGCCAAAAAATATTCCTCGAAAATCAATATATTAATTTTTATGGTGGGATTAAATATTTAATCCAGGCGAAAATGTTGGAACCAAGTACAGGGAACGACGGAATGCAAGTCCTATCGAAGTTTCAAATAAATTTTGTCCAATCAAGGACATTATAAAAATTCTTGCTTGCACTTGGCTACAATAATATTCTCCCACCCCTTTTCAAGTAAAAAATAGTCAGCCAAAATTTAGGCAGTAAATAAAATGACTCGAGTCGCGTATCCGATATCGAAGAAGCTCGAGGCTGTGGGGCTCCTCGAGTCTATGTCCGATTACAAGGTTGCTGCACTTCTGGGGGTACCCCGCCGAACAATTCGAAACTGGTTCAATCAACGATACGAACATGCCCTACCTTCAACGAAAGGGGGTCCTTGGTCCGGATACAAGTCTCTCCAACAGCTCCTCCGTCGCTTCGTCAAACCTCACGGCTTCTCGCGCCAACGACCAACTACATGCAAGAAAAGCAAGGTCTTCCTAGCCGAGACACGAGACGAGTTTGCAACTTAGTTTCATCATCAGTACAGAGCATACGGGAAGGAGTGCACTTACAACGTCGACGAGACTGGAATCTACTACGGCATGCCACCAAACTATATATGGGCCAAACGGGGTGGAAGCTCGAAGATCTCCTCAGGGGAGAATCACTCATTGCGCATGACCGCTGCCCTCACCGCACGGGCTGATGGTCAGAAGCCACCTATCATGTTTATCATGAAAGAAGAGCCTGGTGGTCGTATCGAAACTCGTGAGGTGCCAACGCTTCCATCTGGACAAGTCTACGCAGTTCAAGAGAGGGCATGGATGGACGCGACGGTGTGGAAGTCCTACCTGAGCAATGCCCTTCACGACCACATCGAGGAAGCTTCGGTCCTCATCCTAGACAACTTTGAGTCTCACGTTTCGGAAGAGTCGAACAGGATCGTCCAAGAGGAGTTGGGATCGCACCTTTGTCCGCTTCCATCGAATGCAACTTTCTTTTATTATGATCTTTTTATGGTTATGCCTGCGACGTTGGCGTTATGGCCCCATTCAAGCGCCATATGCGGGTGCTTATCTTCGAGGAAATGAATGAGGGTGACGATGACGATCCACTATCTTTCACCGCGAAGCAGAAGAGAGTGGCTTTGATCAAGCGAGCGATTGCAGCTTGGAATATGGTGTCGGCTGACGAGATACGAGCCAGTTTCGACAAGGCCATTCCTCGCCAGCAGTTGAGCCGAATTTAATTTTGTCAATTTTATTTCATTCCACATCATTTTACTTTCTCTTTGTATTGATTTTTTTAATCATTGAAATAATGACAAAGTTTGACACTGCGCGGATGTGAACCCGGGCACCTTCGTCGATTGATGTAATGCCATCGCGCTAAACCCTGCGCCACCGCGTCAAGCGCTTACACTTATACTCGAATTCAGCTACAGTATCTGTAACTTCGATTTTGACATTCAACTAATTGAGCCAACGTGTCAATGAATGACCCGCTACAATCCATGCAAAACCGCTGCTTCGGGAGAGTGTGGAGTTTGCACAACATTATT